AGGTAGGGGCACTACTTCCAGCTTCTTATTTTGATGAATTATTCTTGTCAGTTGCTAAGCTCCCTCCCCCCTTTTTTTCTTCTGAAGAATCAAAGGATCACAGATTTAGAGCTACAAGGGACCTTACAGACCACCCGGTCCAAGCCCCCTTATTTTTTAGGTGAGGAAACAAATTCAGAGAGGTTAATGAAGTTGGCCAAGGTTGCCCAGCCAGCAGTTGTCTCAGGTCTGCCTAACTGTGCCTTCCATCCCGACATCTGGTGCTGTTGGGGACCTCTGCAGTGTGGCACTCCCGGACCTGGCCCCACCCTACTTATATGTCAGACAGCTGGAGGGGCTGCTGCTGCTGGGAACGAATATCTTTTCTTCCCCCGGACTATGGGTACATTCCAACCTTCTCTCCAGCCTCTCACGGATTTGATAACTTTGTGTCTGCAGCATGGAAAGAGAGGCAGTGACTTGTCCAAGGGCTAGTGTGTGTGTGCGTGTGTGCGTGTGTGTGTGTGTGTGTGCGCATAGGATTCGAACCCAGGACCTCTTGACCCTGGATCCAGTCTTTGCTTGACCACATGACCTCTGAGGTCCTACCCAGCTCTAATAGCCTGTGGTCTAAAGATGGAAGGCGAGGGGTAGGCTGAGAAAAGGGACAACAGCAGAGGGAGAGGAGAGAGAAGGGCGCTGGGGGCAGCAGGGGCCTGGAGGAAGCCAGAGGAGAGGAGAGAAGAGGAGGGAGGACGAGAGGGGGTGAGGCCAGGGACCCCAGGGAGCGGTGCACCAGGCGTCTGGCGGGCATCTGCTCCGGGGGAAGCTCGCGCTGGGTGGGAAAGGCGGGGCGGGGCTGGCCGACAGGAGGGGCGGGGATACGAGGAGAAAAAGAAGAGGAGGAGGGGGAAAAACCCACCTCCCAAACTTCCGGTGTGGTGTGATCGGGGCCAGAGCCGGAGCAGTGGGGCTGGGCTCGGGAAGCTGCTCTCAGGGGCGTCCGTGACCGAGACCGCGCCTGTGACCGTGCTGGCCGCGCTGGGGCCATGGTGAAGATCAGCTTCCAGCCGCCCATGACCGGGCTCAAGCCCGACAAGGAGGCGACCGGCGATGGGGCCAACTCGGAAATCCTCCTGCCGCAGACCCTGGTGAGTCGGGGGGGGCAGTAAGAAAGATGCGCCCCCTCCCACTTAGGGGAGCCCGAAGGTCGGCCGGGTGAGGTGGGGGCTCTTCTTAAAGCCACCCCCTTCAGCGTAGTCTGGGATTGGGCCGGGGGGGCTTGGGATCTCACCCGCCCGGGCAGACTGAGCTAGGGGGAATTGGTGGGGGAACGGCCTCCAGCCCAACCTGAGCTGGGTGGTGGAGGAAAGGTGAGTAGAGCCTTGGCTGGGACGAGCCCCTAGGAGGAAAGACCATCCCTGCTCCCCCACCTCGCGTGCCCCCCGATTTAGGGGGAGAGAATTGGGGGGAGCTGAGAAAGAGGGATCTGTGCAAAGCCCCTTCCCCCTACGCCGCCTGGCTCGTCGGGGGAGACGGTGCAAGGATGGAGGGATAGGGGGCGGGGGG